GTATGTGAGCTGCTGTTTGTCAATTCTGTTTTAGTGATATTTGACATTTTCAACTAAAAATGTGCTCACCTTTTCTGCAGTATATCTCCACAGAGCCAGATTGGCCTGAAGTGCCATAGACTGAGAGCTGGTAAATGAAACTGGAGGAGGAACATTTAGGGTTGCAGGCAGCTCTGAAACTGAGTCTGCAGGGACAGTAACAAAGGCCAATTAGAGATCACAGAAAATGTGTTACTTTAAGCTAGTAGAGAAGACCAACATTCAGCCTCACCTGGTAAAACGGGGGCAATAATTTGTGGTAGAGGTGTAAGAGGAGGGTTTTGACCCAGCCTCTCTGTATCCTTATGCAGGTGACTTAATCGTATTTGCTCCTGTAACAACAAGTGTTAAGATAACCACCACATTCATTCATTTATGTGCTTCATAAAGTGACACACATACCTTTAAAATCCGTTGCTCCTGCTGCCTCAGGTGCTCTGTTTGGGTGTGAATATTTCTCAGTCGCGCCTCGTGCTCCGCCTCCAATCGTTTCGCCTCCTGCAACGCTCGTTCCCCCTCCTCATACTTCTCTGCCGCGAGCTGTGAAGAACACGGTGTAGGGAAAATATGAACACACGATGGACAAAAAACATGTCCAACACACTACACACAGGGATTGGTGTAGTGTGAAATTACCTTGCTGAATGCCTCGACCTCCTGGGCTCGTGTTTTGAGTCTCAGGGCCGTGCTGCTTAGTCTTTCTTTCTCTCTGTCCAGCTCTTCTCTAAGTTCTTCCAGAGCCTCTCGCTCCCGTGCCACAGCAAGTTCCTTCTGTTTCAGCTCGGCCGTGCGAAGCTTCAAGTCAGCTTGCTCCTACAAAAGGTTTTTACATTTTTTGTGTCTTTTCACGACTTGTGTGGGCTAAAGAAATGACCTAAAGCTCAAGCTCACCTGTGCCAGACTTATGATGGAGCCCTCCCTCTTCTCCAACAGACTGCTGACCTCACGCTCAGCCCTCTCATGCCTCTGCTTCTCCTGGGCGTGGAAGAGTGCCCACTCGGCCGCCAGCTTCCTCCTCTCATCCGCGCAGTGCTGCATCACTGACTTCTGCTCCTCCAGTAACGCGCTCTGAAAACACAGAGAAGGCCAAAGAAGCAAGTGAAGGTCAAGCTGCGCCAAGTTGGTGCAAAACACCTGCGTTGCTGCTGAAGATGTTCGTTGGCCTCACCTTGGCTCTCTCCAGCTCCTCGCGCTCCACGCTGATCTGCGTGGTGAGGACACACCGCTCTTCCTCCAGGCTTCTTTGGGTCGACTCGGCTTTGGCCTGCTCTGCTGTCATCTTCCAGCGCTCCTAAAGCATGCAAAATTAAATGGCATCTTCAGTCTTTAATGAGAAGAAGGTCAGTTTATATTATAGGAGGGGGGTTTAGCTGTTTTCCTCACACTTATAAAGTATAGTTTAAAAATGAATAAGTAGGATGCTCTGAGCATCTTAGAGAACCTGCCAAAGGACAGAAGACCACTGTTTATGACTGTGGCTGCATGTTTTTTGTCAACATCGTACATCAAAATGAGCTTTGGGCTTTATTTCTTCAGCATCAAAAGCAGTTTTTTTGGATGTGAGGCTTCTGGCAGTTCGGAGATCAGCTCAGTGCGGTTGGGAAGCACGTCTGGTGCATACTTTCTGTCTGTGTGAGGCTCTGCAGACACAGGACGACCATCTTCTGTCTTTTTGTTCTTCTCAGTCTGCGCAGCTACTTCTATTGTTATGATTTCAATTAAACATCAACCACGCTTTTGTTCGTTCGCCCATATTTAGTCTTATTGGTTCATCAAGCGCTCGGCCATATTTCTACAAATTCCAAATACTTAGTTGTCTCTTGGTGTGAGGTAAAAATGATTCGGCAATATTTCTTAATATGCAAAGAAAGTGTTTGGAAATCTAAAGTATGACATTTTTCGTTGATGCACTACTGCAGCAGGTCCCGGTGTATGATCTTGTTCTGTTACTGTCATTTCTCATAATCACCTTCTCAAGCTGTCTCTGCTGCTCTTTAAGCTGAGTGTCCATCCTGGAAATAATGTCCTTCAGGTA